GGAGAGAGAGAGGAGGAGAGATGAGAGGGAGGGGAGGATAGGGGATAGAGAGAGGAGGAGGGACGCGAGAGAGGGGAAGGGAGGAGAGGGGAGAGGGAGGGTAGGAAAAAGGAGAGGGAGGGGAGGAGAGAGGAGGAGAAGAGAGAGGAGAGCGAGAGGAGGAGAAAGAAGGAGGGGAGGAGAAAGGAGAAGAGAGGAGGACAGAGGAGAGGGAGTGGAGGACAGAGGAGAGGGAGGGGAGGAGAGAGGAGAGGGAGGGGAGGAGAAAGAATAGGGAGGATAGGGGAGAGAGAGGAGAGGGAGTGGGAGGATAAAGGAGAGGAGGGGAGGACAGAGAGGAGAGAGGGAGGGGAGGAGAGGGGAGAAAGAGGAGTTGACTATTCCATTAGGTTCCCCCGCGAGAGAAGCCACACTTCATCTATCACGGATTCTGCCCAATCTCGAGGTCCCTTTGTGTGTGGTTCGGCGATACCTCAGTGCGCTATGGGTTGATATTTCCCTCGACTGCACACCCTCCGTTGTTGAGGTTTTTCGAAAAAATGTCAATGTATTATCATTACTAATTAGGTGATTAACTTATTGAGGATGGAGGCCGTGTAAAATAATCGAGGGGGTACATACTGACGTTAACTATACAAATTATTGGCCAGGCAAGCCATTAATAAGAATTGTATCTTATAGTTTTACCGTTTTCTTTATTATATGGGGGGAGAGAATTTTTTTTTTTTGGTTTTACTTTTTACACGAAGAAACGGTGTTGCAAATTTGAAATTAGTAGACATGAAATATTCACGTTGGGGAAATTCATTTTACACTTAATTTGTATTATAGATTAATCAAACAATCATAACCAAGGCTAAAATCTGCATAACATACATAATGTATGATAGTTTTACTCCCGGATAGGCTTTTGCACCGGTTCTATCAATTCAACCGTCAGATTAAACTTTATGCTTCCTCTAAATTCCTTTCGCGTGTTTAGGTATATGCAGAAGTGCGTCTTGTGTGAATGGTTCGTTTTGGTTCGTTTTGTTTGTTTTTCTTTGATTAATCCTGCTTAGGAAAATGGTTAATGGAAGTAGAAGGGATAAATGGTGAAGAAAGGGGTGATGTAGCTGAAGTAGGAAGGAATGGGATGTGTTTGGAGTGGAAGGAGTGTAGGGGGAACAGGAGGAGGATGGATGCCTGCAGTTACTTTAGGCGTAAAAAGGAATGGGAGCAGAGTGTGGATTGGACGAGGTGCAGGCATGTTATTGTGGGTCGTAATTGGATAGTTTTGAACGTCAAGAGTTAGTCGAAGCGGCCTGAGAAACAAAGGTTCTCTTATGAGGGATAAGAGGGAACATGTTTAATGAGTGGAGGGAGAGGTTGATGGAAAGGATGAGGTGGATGGAGAGGATGGGGTGGAGCGTTTAGCTTGTCTTGTGCTACAAGTTGAACGAGGAACGAGAAGGTACCGGGAAAGGGGTGTTTGGGCTATTTCGAATAGTGGAAATTGGGGGAGTTGGGATATAGGAAGGCTAAAAGAATTTGACTGAGGGATTAGAAGTGGGATGAGGAAGAGATACCGAGGGAAGATGTAGGACCATTTTGGGAGGAAAGGAGAGAGGTAGAGTGGAGAGCATTATTGGAAAATGGATTGAGAAAAAACCGCTTCGTTTGGCTTTGCGTAAAATATATGTCTAGTTCTCACCCCTCAAGTCGAATTGAGGGGCATTTTTTTTTTTTTTTTTTATCATCATCATCCGACTTGGATGGGACTTGTATACATTAATTTTCTGCTGCGTTGACATACAAGGTCATTAGCGGCATATATAAAGTATAGAAATAGGGCGAAGCTGGGGGGCAAATACACCAGGTAGAAAAGGTAATACAACATTTAAAGTATTGTGGGGAAAATGTTAAAGTTAACAATTAGGACAAATATGCTGAAGGTTGCAGGTTAGTATGGAAGTGAATGTGGTAAAAGATTGAACAGTAAACCGAGTACGATGGCCGTTTAGGGCTGAAAGCCAGGCTTTTTCAGAACGGCACTGCCTTTAGAATGTGGACAAAAGCGGATGAAGAGAAGGTGAAGAAATGACTATCCAAAGTTAGTTAAGGCGAGTTCCAAGGGCGATCCCCTACACTGGGCCGGGGTCTCCGTCTGCTAACCCCTCCCCCCCCTTCTCCCGCCCCACGATAACAGCGGGCATGGGATTGCGGGGTACCCTTGAGGAATAAGGGCTAGGGGGGGGGTGCCCTTGAGGGATAAGGGCGAGAGAACTAAACGGGAGAACACCGTACCCATGGCTCCCTCAAGCCGCCCATGAGGCAAAGTCAGCTTTCCGTCCTTTCAATATGGCTTTAACACGTAATGGGGATGACGAACAAGGGATAAAAAGGGATGGGCGGTGCACAAGACTTAATGCGCGAATTAATACTTGCATAAGGAGTTTGCCGTCAACTTTAAAGAATTATGATACTCTAACACTAATTCTAGTCGACTGTAAAAAGATTGCTCTAACAGGACCGTTTCCATTGAAAATCAGTTTAGTGCTTCAAGTGAGACTACAGAAGCAGGCCACAGGTCACTAACAAGAATTCGTTATAGGACTTAACCCCCCCCCCCTTCATCAATCCCTGATATTAGTATAATTTAAAGAAAATCTACTTAAGGTAGCCGAAAATACCCCGTAATTCATATTAAGAGCAGATTTTGGAAAATTCCTCCCCACCCTTAGTTAATGTGACTTAGGTCAAGTCCGTATTTATGCAATCATTCCATGACATAATTATTATTTTTAAAGTTCAAATGAAATAAAAGAGGATACTCAGAAATACTTTTTGTAGAGTTACTTTTATTGTGTAATCCTGGCAGACCCAGATCTGGCGAGTAGTGACCTCCACTAACTTTCGTGTCGTTGTCTACTGATAAGATCCCTGGACGTACACGGTGTTGTAAGCGGTGCGGAATGCTGTCGACGTCTGCGTGTCCGTCATGATGTTCGTCCTCACCAATGTCGAAGAAAGAGTAATCCTGTAAAGAATTTAGAAAAGAATTTAGGATTTTCAGTTTTGCAATGTCTGTACGACATACCCTAACTGCATTTGGATGTTCAGGTCGTAATCGGCAAGATACATACGCCTGCGTCGTTGTTCGGGTGTAGGTCGACTGCATGATGTCATAGTAGCTGTGCGTGATGGTGAAGTGTTCGACGGAGACGTCAGTCACGACCCTGAAGTTAGACACGTTGTCAACTACTGTAACGGTTGTTGGTTTCGACACCAACTTCGTCTGGATGGCTACGTCATCGTCCACTGGCGTCTGCACAACCTACAAGAGAAGAATTCAAATTAATCAACTAGGGCAGGCAAGCAGAAGTATAGCATTACATTTCCGCCGAGATGTGCTGTCAAATGGATAACATTGTAAACAAGTACTAATACCTACCACTCTCGAAGGTTGTGTAGACGTCCACAGCGCGAAGTCGGTGATGGTGACGGGGACGCTGTTGTAGGCCGTGTCCGTGATGACGACGGAGCGGTCGATGGTGGTGGTCTGGGTGACCGTGATGGTGACCGGCCCGACGGCGGGGGCGGCGTACAAGTTGCCTGCAGCAGGCTGGCTTGGAGTCCTCGGTCGGTTTAAGGGGACGATCTGAAAGGGCGGAAGTCGACCCATGAGAGACTTGGTTAACTGCTCGTGCGCGATTTTGGTAATTATTATTAAGGTAACTTCATAATCATTTTCCATGTTCTGACGAGAATGTTCATAGTCATTATAGTCATTGCTTTTCAAGAGGTATACTTACAGGCGGCGAGGCAAGGACCGTTGCCAAGACCAGGGTGGAAATCGCCAGAATTTGGGTCACAGGAAACATCTGAAAGTAAAGAATACAATTAAAGACTTTAAAACTTCATACACGTCGTCAACCAATTAACACTAAAGTAAAAAATATATTGCACTATACTTCCTCAAATACACAATATCTTTCACCTTCAAGAACACCCGATAAACTCACTTTAGCGGATATTTACTCTTTTCCAGCTGCCAGACGAGCCCACACTAAACCCGTGCCTCTTCACCTGCACCACATAGACTCCATGGTGAACCTCTGGCGGGTAAATAATACCCGTGTTTACAGGTAACAAGCTCATTAGGTCATTATGAAAGAGTCAACAGCCGTTTAAAGTGCGATAGTATTTAGTATTCATTCACTAGGGTTTATAGATTGGGATTTTTCTTTTATTTATGTAAGATTTGCTAAAATTAAACATATTTGTTGAAGGGGATGTTAGATGTCTGATATATGAAAAGAAGAAAACCTACACACGGACACGCGAATGTTACGCACCCGCACACAGGTGCATGTACTAATAAATATGTTTGTGCGTGTTTGCGTGAGTGTGTTTAAGAATATACTCTATCGAAGTATTGTTGTAGAACGTTATACCCCCACCCGTATGCCCTAAGATTGATATAGGTGGGGCATATTAAGCAATCCCGAATTATAGTTGTGTGTATGTGCCTGTGTGTTTGCGCGTGTGTGTGCGTGTATGTGTTTGCATGTGTGTGTGTGTGTGTGTGTGTGTGTGTGTGTGTGTGTGTGTGTGTGGAGAGAGAGGAAAAAAAGGTATGAGAGAAAAAGAATTAGAGTGTACCAGAGAGAGAAAGAAACTGGGAGACTGCAGCTTGAAAGAAAAGGAGAAACTGTGAATGGAACAGGGTAAGTATTTAAGGTAATATAGTCACTTTTGCAGAATACCAAGTTAAAAAAAAATCCTACGCGTGGTACTGTTTAATCAATCAACTCTAAGTGATCGTAAGGAAATCTGAATGAAGAAAAAAAGATAAATATAGAGCAGTAAATTTAATGAAAATCGCGTCAGTTATACCTCTAGCATTAACATACTCTCATTTCTACCTTTTTCGTTATATATGAGTATAGAATTACATGAAATTGAGTTTAAAAAATCCTAAAGCTATTAATATAGAGCAAGATTTGAATGATAGGCAATGGACTAAGATACATATGATTGGTAATTAGGGTAAAATACGACTGAAAACTATTTAAGACGGTATTTGCACTGCCTCGCTCTTCTCCCTTCCACATATCTCTTCAGAGGACAACAGATCTATAAGTCTTGAGATATCGTTATAGAAAATAGAGCTATAGCAGATAGATTGCGGATCTGGAGGCAGGAAAATAAATAATGGAAAGTAAATCTAAAGAAATGATGGGAAGAAGGCTTGAATCCTGACAAAATACAATGAAAACAGAATAATGGAACTAATAATCTTGATAATGATGGGTATTATCATAAGTATGAAGATAATTAAATAACAATTAATCATAATTAATAACAATAACGACAGTAGTAGCAGTAACAAAAAAGTAATATCAGTACAAAAAGCTGGAGAGAAAAAAATGAAATAGTGCTACCTCTTATACTACTTACATTATACTACGACTGCTGTTGCTGCCTCTGCTATTGATACTACTTCTATTACTACTGCTGCTGTTGTTGTTACTCCTGCTTTTGCTCCTGCTCTGAATATTACAATTACTATGGCTGCTGCTGCATGCAATCACTATTACTACTTCTGCTTTTGCTATTACTACTACACCTACTACTGCAAATAATAATATAACACTAATAATGGTAATAACAGTAGTACTATTACTAATAATGATAATGATGATAATACTACAACTAATAGTAGTAGCAGTAGTACTAATCCTTATACTACTGCAAATAATGATAAATATAATATTAATGATATTTCTATTACAATCATCATCATCATCATCATCACCATTATCATTATCATCACCATTATCATCATCATCCTCGCCATCATCATCATCATCATTATCGTCATCATCACCATTCTCACCATCCTCGCCATCACCACCACCACCACCATCATCACAGCAGCTCCATCCCCAACCACGCGACACAGTCACCCTAGAGGTTAAGTTTCCTTGCCGAGTCCTTTACTTACGTCAGTGTGAATCTTAGCTCAGATATCCTTCACTCGACTTTTTCCTTGTTCGTCAAAAAAAAAAAAAAAAAAAAAAAAAAAAATCAGCATCCTTCTTCCCAGAACTTCTTCTTGTGATGACATCCTCGGGCTCTTGTGTGTCATTGTGAAGAGGTCGTAATGAGGGATGTCGTGTGTAATACAAGATGAGATTGAACAAGAGAGCACTGTTGCTTCTTAAAGAATTAAAAGAAAAATGCTGACGTTAATGGCAAAGGTATTTCTTGAGTATTAATGCGTACTCTACTGTTTTGAAAAGGGTTTGTGATCGTTCATTAAAGGCGCCTTGAGTATTCATTAATGTTATCTTGGATTATTTTCTTATGTAAATCACGTTTAACATTCTCTTCTGGTTCATTTGGTATATATCAATCTCTAAAATTATTTTGTTTAAAAGAAAGAGGGATAGTCGAAGGAGAGACTTAAACAATTTATTTACCATTGTTTTTTGCCCTCCTGGAATTTTTAATGAAGTAAGAACTGGGAGGTAGAGACTTTTGCCATGTTGATATAAAGCGACAGCTATGATAATCCTTGTATTCTGTACTAATTGGCTCTAGTTTCTGATTCCTTCTCGCTTATTTTTGCTGACGAAACACCACCTGTAACTGACGCTCACAAACTTGGGTATTCATTGTGAGAGACGGAAGCAAAAGTACGAGGAAAGTGGTTAAATAAACGAGAAACGAAGAGAGAAGAAAGTTGACTGTGAAGCTGAATGGGAAGGATTGGAAAACGTGGAAAGGGTGAAAGTGCCGAGGATCTGACGCGGCAGACAATGGGAGTCGAGGGTAGAGAGCGAGAGAGAGAAACAGAGCAGGAGAGGCAATGAAAGCTTAGAGAGAAATGAAAGCGGTGTGGCATGGTAGAGCACTGGCCATACTGCTCGACGTTATGGTCTCACTAACCGTGTTGTAAGCAGCAGCAACGTGGGGTGCTCAAAAGGTACTGTACACGCACAAGTAATGGAGAGGAAGCGTGTAAAGAGATGGTCACACCAGTCTTACCTGTCCGGGGATACCTTCAGAGAGCGAAATAAAAATCCCAGCCTAGAGCGGCATCGATCATTTAATAAGGATCATAGTATGTATCCTTATTAAATGGTCTAATTATTATATCATATTAAGTATAGTAGCGCTAGAAAAGAGTAATATATTTCATAACTAACAATGGTGCCTAACTAATAGATTTAAAAATCTCAAGAGTAACACTCGTTTGATCAACAAAGAAAAACATCCACACCCTGGAGGCACGGAACTCACTTCAGAAATTAATTACTCTCTGGTCGACGAAGTGAGAGCCAGAGAACAGCTACGAAATACAATCCATAAATAGCATTGTATCAGAAAGCTCAAAATAACAATAATTGACGAAACCAACAAAAAACTGATTTGCGCAAAGTTTAATCGTACGGGTGGCAAGGTCGTGTCGCCATCGACAATTTTAGTTACAGTAGTAATTATCAGCGTATAATTACGTCTCGTGCATCACATATATACGTGTGTGTGTGTGTGTGTGTGTGTGTGTGTGTGTGTGTGTGTGTGTGTGTGTGTGTGTGTGTGTGTGTGTGTGTGTACATATGTATACACACACATATACATATGCATTTGTGCACTCGCTGGGTCCCTCTTTCGTACATCTGGCAACCAATTCGATATAAACATTGAGTAAATATTTTTATGAATGAAGTAAAAACCCTTGGCTGCTTGTAACAAAGGCTGTGATTCGTAGATTATAAATATTGAGTAATTAATTTATATTTCAGGAATCTATGTAAATTATTTTATCTTTGACTTTTTCGAATAAGTGATAACACAACATACAATAATAGGCATCGTTGACTTTGTAGTAGAATATTTTCTATGTGCGACTTCCTACCATTGTTTGTTTATCGAAATGGCAACACATATGGAGTTGAGGAAGCTTTTCCCTCTTCTTTGAACACAAGTATCACTTATAACTGAATATTTATTGAAACATCAAGACGCTTTAGTATTTTAACATCTATTTATGACAGCTAATCAACTGTCTTTGTGTAATCTCTGAGAACCTTTGTAAATGTTTTTAGTGGCTACGCCATCTGGTAGAATTTAATCGAACTAATGAGGTGGCTTTAGTGTATTTATCGTCAGAAATAAAATCTGATTCTTCATTGGAGAATATATTTGAACGCAAAACCACAGGACTGCAGTGAATATGTAGATGATTTTGCAGTATGTGTGCGTGTGTGTGTGTGTGTGTGTGTGAGTGTGATAATAGTAATTTAGAGTTTGTTGTGACAGCCTCTTGTGACATCAGTCAGATTGTGGCTGGTCTGTTTATTGTGCTTCTTAAACTACCCCCTAAACTAAAACGCTAGAATGTGTGTGTGTGTGTGTGCGTGTGTAGCTTTAGATATAGGTGCAAATTGTGCTATAAATAACCTTTCAACTAGCGCTAGGAAATATATCTATTCCTACTGTCATTACTTTTACCAGTTGCTGTCAAGGCAAAGAGACAAAACCCCATTTCTTGTTATTCCTATGTCCTAACTTTCTTATATTCCCTCTCCTTTCACCTTGCATTCCCTCTCTCTCTTGCTCTTTCCTCTTACACTTCTCTTCTTCCATTTCCCTCCTTTACATCCTCGACCTCTTCCAATCCCCCTGTTTCCCGTCTTTCTTTTATTTCTCCTCTTCCGTTCCCCCTGATTTGCGTCCTCGTATTCTCTTGCATCCCCCAGCTTTCTCGTCCTTCTCTACGCCTTCGCTTTCTCACCTGATTTCCCATTACCGCCTTTGTTGTCCGAGCGCCGACACTTCGATCTTCCTGGGGCTCAAGCCATGCATTCTGAGCGCCTCCAATCGNCCTGTTTCGAATGATGGTCGAAATACATGAATAGGTGAAGATTCTTCTATTCGAAATCGTGCAAGAGGTGTATTCGACCTGTTTCGATGATGGTCAGAAATACGTGAATAGGTGAAGATTTAATCGAATCGGTGCAAGAGGTGTATTTCGACCTGTTTCATTTGGTCAGAAATAGTGAATAGGTGAAGATTTAATCGAAATCGGTGCAAGAGGTGTATTCGACCTGTTTCGATGAT